GAGAGAGAGAGAGGTGGGAGAGGTGAGGGGAAGAATAAGAGAATAAGAAGAGATAGAGATGGTTTGAAAATGAGAGAGGGGGGTAGGGAGAGACAGAGAGAGAGAGAGAGAGAGAGAGAGAGAGAGAGAGAGAGAAATGTAGGAGAGAGAGAGGGGAGAGAGAGAGAGAGAGAGAGAAAGAGAGAGAGAGAGAGTGAGAGAAGGAAAAGCACGGGGAAGAACAAAGAGACATGCTAGACAGTTAGACAAACAGACGTACAGACAGGGGTGGGGGCAAGGGCTGTCATTCGGCGGCTGGCGGCCTTATCTGAGGCAAACATATCACCCAGATCCTTCACACACACAATTTTCTAACCCACTACACTTACAAGTTTGAATTGTAAATTCAAAATCAATGTATCCTGATCGTCCTGGGGGCACTTTTTCAGCAGTAAAGTGCTCAGAAGCCCCGCTCGGTTCGTATCCGGCCAACAATTTACGGTGTAGAGACATCTTTACTGCGCTTGCAAGTGGCGATTACAAATAAATAGGTCACAACGAAAGGGATTCCCCCGTGTGGTTAAAAATAGATAACTGTCATCACATACCACTTTCCATGGGAGCAGCTTCCCACAAGTTGTAGGCGTAGGTTTGATTGTGGTTGATTTCATTTGTAGATGAATAGATAGGATGTCTCTGAAGAGGATTCGGGAGGTTAAGGTGTGTCAAATGATTATTATTATTGTTATAATATAATATAATATGCATAGTACATGTGCCAGGCAGCAAGTACAAGAGGTGTCTACAGCTGTTTGCACATCCTCTATACTTTTTGTCTGTCTGTCTGTCTGTCCGTCTGTCTGTCTGTCTGTCTTACTTTCTTTCTTTTCTTTCTTTCTTTTCTTTCTTTCTTTCTTTAGTTTAGCATAAGGCCATTTGCTTGTGAAATTTATAAAATCCATATCCCTTGACTAAATAGAGCAACGATGATATCTATATATTAGTCAGACATGAAAGAATAAATTCAAGTAATTATTTATTGTTATAAGCGCTTGGTAACCATGGAAACCAAAAAACATTCGCCATATTGGATAATTTCATCAAATTTCAAAAGCTATCTACTCTCTTATTTGGCTTTCATTTTTAACAAGTACAAACTACACACCCATGTAATTAACAAATAACGCTAGCTCTCCCTCCCTTCCCCCCCCCCT